CAATTCAACCATTTCTTCCTAATGAATAAAGACCATTTCTTCCTAATGAATACAGGGCACATAACCTTTCAGATAACCGTTCACTTAATACATTACAATTTTCTTATTAAAAGACCAAAACGTCCTCATTATCTAAATATTTAAATATGTATTACAACAAACACACTACATGGGAATATAAGTAAGTACATAAATACTATTTACGCAAACAAATTTGTTTGCCTAGGCCTATAATATGACAAAAAAATATTAAATGGATGGAGAAAAGAAAAATAATCAACAACTTTACCTAGAAAACATCAAAACTAGATTCGTTAAGGTATCTTTTACCCCGTTATTTTGTAATTATGTTATGTGATAATTATCGAGATTTGTTAGATCCAAATATGTGTTACGAGAATTAGTGATATGGTGCAGTTATGAACCCATTGGTAGGATTTGTGAGTAAATCTTACGGTTAAATGTTTAGTCTGGACGGTAAATGTTATGAACCCTAATTTACTGGGATTACCTGACTTGGTAGATTTAGCTAATGGCCTACAAGTTAAGCCTGTTGCGGTTGTATTATCAAGTATGATGAGTTTGGTCACAAATTGTCACGGAGGGTAGGTGGTATTAAATTTAGTGACAGGTTCTGAGGAACTTGATAATTGTTGGTTAGGTTTTGGCATGTGACGAGATGGAAGACAATGTAGGTTAGGGACCGAAGTTGGAACTAGTCTGTCGACTAATCTGGTGAGTAACATTATTCTAACATTCGTTGATGTTGATATATGTGTTGTACAGTATGTGAGTTATATTGTGGTATACATTATTTAATATCATATTAAGAATCATTGTGATGTTTTAGAGATACACACATACCACGGGATGGCGTGTATATATATATATATATATATATATATATATATATATATATATATATATATATATATGTGTGTGTGTGTGTGTGTGTGTGTGTGTGTTAGAGATACACACATAGCACATGATGGTATATATATTAGAGATACACACATACCACAAGATGGTATATATATTAGAGATTCAATTATACCATAGGATGGTATATTTATAAATATATGTGAATTAAATGAGACAAAATTGGTGTCTTGATCTGAAATGGAGATATTTTGTTCGATCTCTTAAGGGGATTTGAGAATACAACTGTTTGGTGGAAGTTAACTGTGATATCGAATTGCTTGATAAATGTGTGTGTGTGTGTGTATATATATATATATATATATATATATATATATATATATTGTAGAATTTATTCACTAATCCGTGAGGCTTACAATGTTTTGTTTGTGGTTGCTTTGTAGGTTAGTGGTAGTGGCGCCCGGATTGGATCCTATACTTGAGACTAGTACAATCCTTGGTGATAACTTCTTGTATTCCAAAGTGCTAGTGTACACCAAAATTATTTGTAAAATTAAAATGATAAAAGTGTACTTCGGGAAATCGCGGGAAAGAAAAAATGAGACATTTAAGCATGTTAACCATTTAAATAAAGCACAAGTTTTAATTTTGTTCAATTCTTGTGAAATTTTGATACTTTTAATCTTTTGGCATGCCTCAAATAAATAGTCTAAGTTCACCATTCCTATTGCCACTCTAGCTTTTCTTGGATTTAATACCAATTGAATTTGTGATTTTGGGTTTTAGGGTAACAGGGCATGATCATGATCTTTTTGGGTTCTTCAACTCCATATTTTTTCTCTTCTGTTGTTTACACATTATTATGGGTATAAACTTGATGAGTTTGAAATTCACGAGTGGGTTTCTTGAATTGGGTGTGTTTCTTGCATTTGTTGTTGAAGGTTTAGCTAATAATGGTGTCACCTAATACCAACATTTGTCTACTTTGATATGACCCAATCATATAGCTGATCACTAGCGCCCCTACACCCAAGATTCTTGGATCACGTTGTACTTGATGATTCAAGTGTAAGATACCATCTTTTACATTGGTGATATGGTTGGAGGGAGTGGTGCCACACTTCTTCATTTTGCTACACTGCCACGTAGGCGCCACGTGTTTTTTTACCACAAAAGTGTGGTTTGTTGCCACACCCAAGGAGTGGTGACACACTTATTTTTTTAATGAATAAAAACTTTATTTTTTTTAAGATAATATTTCATTAATTAAAAATAAAAATACCATACATTGCATAACTTAGAAAAAACCTAAAAATTTAGAAAAGAAAATTAAAAATATAAAACCTACAACTTAAAAAAACACACACATCAAACGATTAAAAACTTGGAAAAAAAACTAGAAATTAAAAACGATTAGTGTAACGTTTTTTGATGTCCTCCTTCATTGCCAAAATAACTTGAAGCTCATCTCCGGTCATATTCGACATGTCCATTGCTAGCACTCTCATGCTGTTGTCCCTTTGCTTCCGAAGCTCTCTTTCAGAAGCAAGTTGCAAAATCTTGTCCATTCTATCTTTTATACCCTTCATATCGGCCCCTATTTCTTTCAACTCATATGAATCCGACGCTTTTCCTTTTCCTTTGCTTTTTGCTTTGTCCCTTCCCATTGGTTGGGAAGGTGGTGAAACTGAAATGTGTTCATCTTCGTTCAGGTCGAATTGAACACGAGCATATGATGTAGTGTGGTCAGATTCAGATGTTTTGTTGCGTTTTGAACCAATGTCGATATGCTAGTATGATGTTTTGTTGTTTGTCCATTTCTTGTTATCTTTCACAAGATTCTTAACTTCAAGAAACTTGAAAGCCTTCACCTTTTCTTTTTGATACACTTTCAATGCTTTCTGCAAAATCACATCATCGCTTTCTCTACTTTTCTATTGACGTTTCATGTTGGTATACAAATCATTAAACAACATGACTTCCTTGTTCATCTTCCCCCATTTCTGTAAAACCCGAATCCAAAAACAGTCATGTTTTTGGTCTTTTCCAATCGTCACATCTTCTGAAATATCGATCCATGATTGTGCCAACACTAACACTTCTGGGGTTCCCATCTTTTAGTTAGTGCCTTCTCTTTTGTTTTACTTGTTGCTCGAGTGGGCTAAGTTTTTTCAACGAATTTCGGTTTCGGAATCAGAAATGACTGTTCGTGGTTGTGATTGTGTTTGTTGAACAAACTCAGGTTAAGACAAAAAAAATCAAATTGATTAAAATATGGGTCGGGTTGTGGTTGTGGTTGTGTTTGTGGTAGTGGTTGTATTGGTTGTGGAAAATACGGAAGCATACCGCGATAGTGATAATACGAAGGCAAATAAATCGGTTGATCATATGAAGGTCTTCGGGTTGTGGTGTTTCTAATGGATGTTTTTTCGTTGGTAGGCATTTTGGAAGAAGACATTTTGAAAAGATTTGAGGAAAAGAGGGTAAAAGGGTAAGAAATTTAAATGAGGTTTTTGTAAAAAAAAAGATATGTATATATAGGGTTAGTTTATATATATATATATATATATATATATATATATATATATATATATATATATATATATATATATATATATATATTTCAAAAAACGACCGTTGAAACGGTCAAAGAGGGCAGCCAATCAAATCACGCGGTCATTTCTTGCCACCCTGCGGCCTGAAATGCACCTGGACCGCACCCAGGGGCGGTGTTCCTACGAAGCCTTCAATTTAGTTGCTTCCCCCCCCCCCCCTTTTTTCCCTCTTTCCCCGCCGAGCTCTGAAACCTGCCTTCCTTGCCTTACCAACTTAAAAAAAAGATCTTTAGAACCCCACCACTCCCCTGAGCCTAATCAAGCTATAAACAGACCCAAGTATTAAAACCTTTGATACCAAACTTTATCAAGTACTAAAACCTTTGATACCAAACTTCATCAAGTACTCTTGCACAGGTTGGTCATTTCTCTAATCATTATCGTAATTTTTTATTTTTTATTTATCTTGTTATAGGGGTTTGCCCTTGCATATCATCAAGCGGGTTATGACCCAATTACCCAAAGAAAAAAAATTAAAACAAAACTAGTTTATTAAACAGAAAATCGGACAAAGAATCTAAGATAACTTTTACATCATTTCATTCTTAATCATACATCAAAATTTCATATTTGTATATCAGTACATGTTTTAACTAAATTACTAAAACCTAAAATAAAAGAAGAAATCAAAAGAAACTAAGCTAAACTAATGATAACATGACAGTACCAAGGTCAACACATGTCCTTCCCCACATAACATGGCTAGGCCGTTCAACTTTTTTGTGACATAGATGAAATGATTAAAAGGAATGAAAGCAATGTTGCTGTTTTTTATTAGACAGTATTAGAAAACAGAGCATGAAGACAATTACTCGATTACAATTTACAATGGCTGTAAACAAAAGCAGCTTTTTATTGGGTATCCCTATTCGGACGTAGATATCTTACCATTTGAATGGAATAGAAACTTACCTTGTTTGTGGAATTAAATTTATTGATTCAAGTTTTAAAACAAGCATCCTAACATTTTTATTAAATATGTTTCTAGCTAGCTAGCAAGTATCTGTTACAAAAATTGGTATTCAAAATAAGCATAAAGTAAATATTCATATGGTAACTTTACCTACTCAGATTTTGAATGGTGTGTTATATTCAATAGACACACATAACTGCATGTCATTCGGATTATTTGCATAAAGACATTAAGAAATGTCGAGAAACATAACATAACGTTAAGTGGTTTTAAATACATAACTTATACAGAGTGTTTCATGTTACTTCTAAAAGTACAGGATTTATTATATAAACAAGTTATTCAGATGCAAATATAAAAACAAAGATAAGAGTGCTAACAAGTTTTCAAAAATTTTGCAAGTTCTCAATCCACCGTGTCATACACATAAAAAGGAAGATATGGATGATAGTTGTGCCAACATGAAGCAAAAGCATGGGCAAGACCCAAATTATTTAAGCAATAACTCGCAAGATGCATGTCTTGTATATACTTAACATATGAAAAAAAGAAACAAAGACAAAAGTGCTATAACAAACTAACAAAGTCTATCATCAGTCATCTATTTGATTGATATCTACGCATTCATGAGGGAAGTACCACATGCTTGAAGAAAAGAAACTGTATTTACGACTTGTATCAAGAGTGTCAGGAAAGAAAGCATGTCTCTGGTATTGTGTCTGAGGGTGGTCAGCCCAAGACTCTGGTTTAATAGCAACATAATAGTTAAAGCTGCGGCTACAAAAGAATGCATACTCTCCTATTGCCTTTGGCTTTGGCTTTTCTTCTGGCAACACCAATTTCCTTTTGCAAAAATCTAGTTCCTTAACACCGGGTGAAGTGCGACCCTTCACGTAAATGTTTTCACCCGTACGCCAGAAGAAGCCTGGCTCCCCGAAATCCTTGTTTATTAGTAACATCAATTCGGGCTTTGGATTGAGTTTCATTTCACATATATCAGAACCGGTGATTGGGGCTTATATCTTCCCCTTGAAAACATGTAAATCAAGGACGCGATCAAAGGAGGGGACACAACTCCATGCTCTTTTACCCGCTATTGAAAACCATATGTTATCGGTGATAGAGTCTGACAACACAACAAACAAAAACCGATTTACTGAAGGTGAAAAGACAAGGATACCCTTGATTCTTTCTATTATTTCTACATGCTGCTCGAAATTAGGGAAATGAAGTTGATGCCTTGTGATAGGATTCACAAGCCAGAAGTCTTTCTTTTCCTTCCCAAACAAGATTAAATAACCACAAGTTAATCCAACACACTTCCTGACCAGCAGAATGGGGAATGATGGTTTTCAACTTTCTTCCTTCAAAGTCCTCTAGGCAGCAATTTTTCTTCTTACGAAAATGATCAGAGATGGACATCAACATGGGTGGTCTGGATGCCATAAATCTCTCCCTGTTACAAAGTGAAAATGACCTCCATGACTTGCAAACTCCACTAAAAGCAACAAAATCAATAACTCCAAGTTGCATCATAACTAAAAATAGCACATCATGGTTAAGATCTGACCACGTTGCCACAATACTATTATCACAACTCTTGAACCTCTTCTTCCTTCTAGATGAATTATCATGATTCTGCTTTCTAGTCATACTCCTTATCTTAGCCATTCCTATATTAGCAAAAGGAAAATATATATTATAAGGTCTTCGCAAATGCAAATTCCACATAAGATTACCCAAATGTTGCCCTTTTCAGAAAATCGAATTTTACAAAATTTTGCAAGAAAAACAGAGAACAAGCAAACATATGAAAAGGAGCCTGAAGTAAAAACAAAACACCTTCTAGAAATATTGAACAAGTCCTAGCTGATGCAAAGTGGAAATTAGCGGTTCTAGAAGAGTCGAAATAAATGCTTCTAACAAGAATTTTTTTTTTTAGTTCACAAAAATTCCTTTTGAATTTCTCAAGATATTAAAACAAAGTTTTACTAACAAGAATAGTAATTATATTGGAAATTGTAGAATTGTTCTTTCCTTCTTTATAAATTAGAAAGGGTTACAGCTTATCAAAAAAGGTTACAACTACCGCAATATCTATCCTTATCCTAACACTAAATCAAAACTCTTCATGAAACCAAAATACCAAACTCAATCGCACCCTAGATAATCAGAAAAAATTATTAAAATCACTTTGTGCATAGAATAAAATTACGAAACCAAAACCCATCAAGGTGGGAATTTGTATAGCAATATACTTCAACTACAAAAACAGAAAAATCATTACTTGAACCCTGGATAATCAAGTAATCAACTAAGCGAAACCGAAATAATAAAACTGAAAGTAAAAATATTTACTAAAACATTACCGGATTGACGGCGGTAGACGATTGCTGATTATAGGTTTCAAGAATTAATCGGTATAAATAGAACCTCGATTATCGTTCCTCGCTTCTCGCCGTTGTTTGTTGCTAATCTGTACGACTGTATCCGCAATATCTATCCTTATCCTAACGCTAAATCAAAACTTTGCATGAAACCAAAATACCAAACTCAATCGCACCCTAGATAATCAGAAAAAATTATTAAAATCACTTTATGCATAGAATAAAATTACGAAACCAAAACCCATCAAGGTGTGAATTTGTATAGCAACATACTTCAACTACAAAAACAGAAAAATCATTACTTGAACCCTGGATAATCAAGTAATCAACTAATGAATTTGATCTCTTTAGTCTTTACTAATTATAATCGAGTGTATCATTTATTTTAGGTTTTTTATTAATCACTAAGGCTAACGGGAGTGGGGAAGGAAAAGCACGCGTGAGTGCTGAGGTGGCACACCCAAGACGCGTGAACACCGCCCCAAGGGCCAGTACTCTGGCTGTGGCGTGAGTGGGGAGACGGAAGAAGACGGACGCATTCATTGGTTGAAATCACACTTTTTCAAAACATTCACACACTTTAAAAAAAAATGGATAATTTTTTCGGTTCAATTTCTTCTTCATCTGATGACGAGTTGGTATTGCACACACTATTGTCTGCGGCACAAGACATGGTTTGTGAAAGAGGGAAAAGTTCACACGACGAGAAGAAGCATAGAAAATGGGTCAACCAACCAGGATCGAGAGGCGGCAAATGAACTTTTGGTACGTGATTATTTTGTCCCTGATAGTTTATATGATCTATCGAAATTTGAAGAACGTTTTCGTATTAGTAGAAATTTATTCTTACGTATAGCTAGAGATTTGGAACGTAATTATGAGTTTTTTCCAATTAAGATGAGATGCTAGAGGTAAACGTGGTTTTACTACAATACAAAAATGTATGACCACTCTTAGACAATTGAGATATGGCATAGCCGCAGACGCGTCAAATTAGTATTTGAAAATGTCTGAGAGGACGGGTTGAGACTGTACATATCTTTTTTTGTGAGTATGTTATAGAGCTTTACCGTGACATATACTTGTGACATCCGACTAAAAGTGACGTCGAACAGTTGTATGTCGTGCATCAAGCTAAACATGGTTTTCCAGAGATGCTTGGTAGTATTGATTGTATACATTGGGAGTGGGCAAATTGTCCCAATGCATGACGTGGTCAATTCACGCGAGGTGATCATAGGGTCCCGACTGTTATATTAGAGGCGGTTGTTTCACATGACCTATGGTTTTGGCATGCATTTTTTGGTATGACGAGGTCAAACAATGACCGGAATGTGTTCCAAGCGTCTCCGTTATTTAACAATATTTTGCAGGGTAAAGAACCAAACATGTCATACGTTGTAAATGGAAATGAATATAAGTATGGGTATTACCTAGCTGATGGGATATATCCAGAGTATGCTACAATTGTCAAGTTGTCACGCTCGGTTCCTGGTACGTATTTTAAATAAGGATTATGCATTTTTACAAAGAGACTCGACGAGTTGGAGGCCCCAAACTCGTCGAGTAGGAATTGGATATGTGGACGCGGGACTTGAAGTCTACTCGACGAGTCGAGGAGCCTCGACTCGACGAGTAGGCCTGCCAGAGTGAAACCCTTATTTTCAGGGTTTGCACCCTATTTAAACACCTTAACACCCCCACTATGGCCTCCATCATCGCCTCCCTTAGTCCAGAAAACCCTAACTTGAAACCCTAACCCATTTTGAGTGTTCTTGAGCCATTTTTGTGTATTTTTGGTGGTTTTGAAGCTTGAGAAGGAAGAAGAAGCTTGGGAGTTCAAGAGGAAGCAAATAGATCCAGAGGTTGTGTTCCATTTCCAGCTCTTTTAAGGTATAAAGTCTATACCTTGACTATTCATTTGCTAGATCCCTTCATGGAGTAGTTTAGGGCTTTAAGGAACCATTTTTGGAACCATTCATGGATGCAAGCATGTGTGGGGTTAAGACTTCAGATTTGGAACCTTTGAGGGACTCCATGGCATAAAGGTGACAACTTTATGGCCATGGGAGTCCCATGCACCTTGTGAACCTCATTTTAAGGCATTTTGAGCTAGAAAACCCATGCATGAACGTAAAGTTTGTAACTTTACATGTCATATCGACCCTAGGAGGCCAGATCTATGTTTTGGATGCGTTAAGCCCAACTGAAATCGACTGTATAGTTTTGGGATCATGGGGGACTCGACGAGTCGTTCTTAGGACTCGGCGAGTCGGGTCCTGGTTCCCCAAACTTCTCTGTTACTTAGCAACTTGTTGAGTCTAGAAGATAACTCATCCAGTTAGACGTGTTTTGGACTTAAAGGTCAAGAGCTCGACGAGTCCAAGGATGAACTCGTCGAGTCAGTGAGCAAATGTCCCGACTGTATGACGAAGAACTTGACGAGTCCAAGAAAGGACTCGACGAGTTCAAATGGAAAGTCCTGATTCTGTCATAAGGAGAAACTCGACGAGTTAGAGGGTAATTCGACGAGTCAGGTCGCGAATTTGAAATTCTATGAATTGTGGAACTCGACGAGTTGATGGACCAACTCGGCGAGTTGAGTCAACCATGATGTTGACTTGACCACTGCGTTGACTTTGACTTTGACTTTGACCATTACACAAGATTGACCCTTAAAGGGGATATGAATATGAAGGAGTAACTAAATGAGACTGATATGTGTAGGAGGTTGAGGAGAGTTGATCCCAACACCGATGACAGTTCATTTGCTGCATGACATTGAGGTGAGTTACCTTCCGGTAGAAGTGGGTCTACAGCCACAATACCGGCCCACTAGTAGGAGTTGTTTGATTAGATGATTGTCTTTATGATAATTATATAGGTTTGCTACTACCTGATATGTTTTATGTGCTAGCATGATATGATGTTATGTGATAGTGGTAGTAGGGGGAATAGTCCCCTTGTCACGGTCATAAGGGCCGAAGGGTAGGTCAGGCACCCCAGAATTGCCCGACGGTATGCTTATGCTTTGATATTATATGGTAGTGGTAGGGGTGAAATTGTCCTCGTAGTCGGTTGAGATAAACCGGAGGGCAAGTCGGGGACCCCAGAATGGCTTGGCAGGGTAGGTCGAGCACCCCAGAATGGCTTGACATGGGTAGGTCAGGCTCCCTAGAATTGCCTGGCAGTATGCTTGTTATATGGTATGAGGTATGATGGGGGAACTCACTAAGCTTTGTGCTTACGGTTTACAGTTTTTGTTTCAGGTCCTTCTTCTTCGAAGGGAAAGGAGTCGGCACTGTAGCAGCGCATCACACCACTATCTTCCGCACTATGATGTTCTTGGGATTGTACTCTGACATTGTTATTTGATTACGACATGCTTTTTGAGAATTATGATCCATGGATTTGATGATATGAAATAACTTGATGAGGTTTTCTCTAAAATGTTTTATGAATCATTATACTTAAATGAAATTTTGGTCTTGAATTTTGGGATGTTACAAGTTGGTATCAGAGCCTTGGTTTGAGGGATTCAGACACACCTTCGGGGGTGTCTGGACTCAAATCGAGGGTTTGAAATATTTTTACAAGAA